CTGCAGCAAAGTCCCATTCCTTGAGGTCATCCTCGAAAGGGCCTCTCTCAAGTTATTACTCCCTACCCCCCAAGAAAGATCTTCCCCCAGTTCTGGTCCTGTGTTTTGCGTTCGGAGGTTGGCCCTCACAGGCGAGGCCGGTGACTGTGGAGGCCCCTTCCCACAGAGAATAGCACCACCCCTGTGGGTGGCCCCTCACTGTCTAAGACCTGACCCTTGGGAGTAAAAGCCACGCCTCCGGGTAGAACGTGCCTGAGGTTCCCCCTCCCCCCCAGCCGCAGGAGGCCCGCAGCTCTGCGGTGAAGGAGCTGAATCCCAAGGCAGATGACTATCTGGTTAACCTGCTGGGCTTCGTGGAGGAAAAGCTGCTGAAGCTGCAGGCGCAACTCGAGAGCCACAACGTGCCGGAGATGCTGCGCAACATCGCAGACCGTGAGGTACCGTGCGACCAGGGGCGGGGCTGAGGAGCGGGAGGACACCAGGGAGCCCAGGGCAACCCCTGGGAGAACAGAGAGGAAGCCGATGGGCTGGAAATGAGGACAATGGATGAGGTTTGATGAATGAGTAAGGAGAACTTCCAGAAGGTCCGGGGAGGCCAAAAGGCAGGGCTTGGGGGTCAGCGGTGGAGCCTCAGAAGGCCAAGGGGCGGGGCTCCAGAGAAGAGGGGCGGGCCTGGGGAGGACGGGAGGTGGGGCTGGGCATCCGGATGCACGCTGAGAACAAACCACAGGCTGGGCCCGAGGAAAACTAAACGAATGAACAGAGGGGCTGTTTGGAATCAGGGTATATCTCGGAATGGAGCGGAGCGGAGGAGGAACAGGACTGCCCTGTAGCCCCTGCCCCACCCACAGCCTTCTTTCCCGCTCCCCTCTTCTCCAGTTCTACGCCAGCCTAGAGGGAAAACTGCCCACGTATAACACCCGCATCGCCCTACCCCTTACTAGTCCCAAGGACAAGTTCTTCGGTCAGTACGGTCAGTACGGCAGGGAAAAGGGGCGGGGCTGGGGGGCCCAAGCAGAGCATTCGGAGGTGGTCGAAGGCCCCGCTCAGGGCTAAGGTGGAGGTGGGGTGGGGTGGCAAAGACTGAGCCAAGTCTGAGCCAAGGATGGGAAGCTGGATCCCCTTATTGCCTCCCCTCCCCC